CATTTTTCTAAAATCGGGTTTTATTCGAACTTTTGCTAACGACAAAAGTTTATCTGTCGTCTCTGTCTCCGGGAACTGCGCGTCACAAAAATGAACCGAAAGCCACTTCAGCTCAGTCACTATAAGAAATCGGCTCTGTCTAATGCCTTTAAATGTCTAAATATTCAGGCTAATAAATGTTATCTGATTATGTAATCCATATGAAAACGAGAGGTACAGAGGATCTACTCAAACATGTAGCCTATGTAAGCGCTTCCCAATGAGAAAATGACAAGGGTGAAAATCTCGCTCTAATGAAATGTAGCAGGCTAAATCGCCCTGAATTAAAATGTAAAAACAGATCAAATAATGTATTTGTCGAAATGTTGCGATATTGTTTCATTTAAGTTCATAATTATTCTATAGGCCTACATGTTATTTAATTTAGCAGCATTACCACGAAGCACCGTGGTTCGATATTTATTTGAATAATAAAAAAAATAATAAAAACTTAATTCACAAATTGCATGCCTGGTTGAAAGGATCCAAAGATCCCTGTAGAATTTATTATTAAGTTGAACATTTTGTTCATGACAACAAATGAACATGCGTTTTTTCAGATTATATTTAGTTTTGCTTGGAAAAAGCTGGCCCAAACCAGTTTTATTTCATCAATTATTGAAATAATGAAATATTTAGTAATAAACTTTTATGACAGAAAATTCACTAGGCTACATGTAACTTAAATCATTTAATTCCTTCATTATCAACACTGTCTAGAATAGCGATTTAAGTGTGAATTACGACTTCTCTTTGTGTTAAATCAGCCTCAGACTCCGATAGCCTGTGGGGGGTTGGGGGACAGTTCAGTGCTGTGCGCGCAGGACAATAGGCCTAGGTGTTAATGTTCCTCTTTCATATGGAGAGCGAGGGAGACTAAATAAACTTGTTAAAAAGAGATTCAGCGCGAGAGAGGCAAAGAAAAACGCATGTTTTAATTTAATTATGTTGCTTTGGACAATTTTCGTTTTGTAGGCCTACTGTTTTAATTGTTTAATGTCATTTATTTGGCAATACAAATTTAAAATGTCGCAAGAATAATATTAGCCTAGTGTTTCTTATTTTGCATCGCAAAAGAAATAAACTCTAAACCCGATGCAACCCTGTTTTAAATAAAAAAAAACACTTTATTTAAACCTTGAAATGTTCGAACTTGGTTTCAAACTTAAGTAATTTTAGTGTTCTTTTACATTACACAATAATTTAGCAGACTAAAGACGAGCTTCTTCATTTTCATTTTCTGATGCAATCGGCTGACAATCTTCCTTCATCAGTTTGTGTCCTTTGTGCAGCGGCTGCGGTTCTACTGGAATGTAGCAAATTTATGTTGTAATGATAATTAAACAAAACTCTTGACTTTAAATAAGTAAACAGTTATAAACAGTTAGCTATTTAAGCATCAAGAAGGTAAAATATAAACGCTGTTGGCCAACATCGGTTAACAACATGTATGCCACATTGAGATTCGATCTCGGGTCGATTGAAGCTCCCTGAATCTCGTGTTGATGCGTTGATCACTGAGCCACCGTTTGTACGCTGTTAGAGTTAAAGTCTTATGCTTTTGTAAAGCTTCATTGATGTAGCCTAAATGTTTTTATTGCAATGTTTTATGTTTTCATTATTTATTCAATTTCATTTCAGTATTTCAGCCTAATTTCAGTATTGTGGTAATGAATTATTTTAACTACGTTTCACTTGTTGAATTCATCTGCTACCAGCTTTCAATCGCTCTGAATGAGCAGCAGATTACGCATTAGAGAGAATAAACGAACACTTTTCAGAGTCTATGATTGTAGCGCCTCTTAGCGGTAAAAGGTAGCAAATACACCCCACATTTTACCGCCGCGGTGGAACGGCTGATGTGGGCGTTGTCATGGCTTTCCTCTACATTTGCGTTTGAATAGCGCGCGTTCTCCGTGGGCGTGTCAGATTAACGCGTAATGAAGTGTAATGAGCTGGGGAAAAAAATTCTGACAGCACTCTCTTTTCATACAGATTACATAAACTGAGAATATTTGTTTTTTATATAAATTACTTCATTGAAAAGAAGAGAATTCAAGCTTCATAAAGAAAAATCTCTCGTGCCTGTGTGACAAGTATTTGCAGAGTTAGAGTTAATTTTTCGGACGCGTTTCAGAATGGACTGCACTGACAGAGAGAAGGCAAAACTCGCATCATGTTTATTTTTCTTCATTTGACAAAAAGCACAACACTTTGTTTTTATTGTGAGTATACAGAAAAATAATATACACTAAACAGGATCGACTGATGTATAACACTTACATGTAAGATTAAAATCAACAGAGTATTTTGAGTCTCTTTTGCACTGATAAGAAAAAAAGTCTGCCTATCGCGCCGGCGCGATAGCCGACCCCAGGGGGTTAAACCCCAACAAAGAGCACACTACCATTCCCTACTGAGTCCCAGAGTACTATTTAGCTCCACCTGCCCCAGACTGCACACCAGGGCGAGGCCGTACTAGGGCTGTGGACTGGTCTATCGTGTCTCTACAGTGGAGCTTGCACAATTGTTTTCTCTTAAACAAATTCTGTGGATAACTGCTACTTGAGTGCCTTCCAAAGTGCTACTGACTGTTGTTTAGGAAACATTCAATAGACGTTGGACATGTTGATTCAAGTCTACTTACATTGTGAGTGTATGCTGAGATATTGATTATGCTGTTCAGGTCAAGTCTTCTCATTTGTAAGTTCTGACCATGACCTCTAAAAGAATTACTCTAAATGAGCAATAACTTTGCTGAAACTGATACATTTTATAAAATTGTGATGACTGGGGAATGAGGGAAATAGGAAGGTTACTACACTACACTACTTCAGCATAGCGCTTGGATGGATCAGTTTAGACCAGGTCAGAATCTGTTTCTGCAATCTAGCATTCATCCAAAGTATTGTTTTTTCCCGATCCCACATCTGAAGACTCCATCTTCTTTTTTTTTTGCTGGATGGTTTTATAATTTAAAAGGATATTCTGTATCTGGGTCTCCAAATTTGATAGCGCTTCTTACATTGGATGAAGTAAAGTAAGTCCATACCCATTCACCACAAATGGCTGTCTGTATTTCTCTTTTTCTTTCAGGTCACATGAGCACTCATCCAACTTTTTTTTTTTTATCACATTTAAACCACTATACTAGGGGGAATAGACATGCAACAGACATCTGATCTAAAAAAGAAAAAGAAAATGGAAGACTGTGAGTACACAAGAAGACAACACCTATCCCAGGATAAGGCACACTTTATGTCCCAGAACTGTGGATACAGCTAAGAGCAAGTGAGAGACAGCTGCATCTAGTGATAGAAAAAGGAGAGAGAAAAAGAAGGAAGAGTGTGGCCTTGTTTACTCAGCCCTGCCTGCCATGAGGGGTAACCTGAAGACAGGCCTCTGCGCTCTGGGAGTATCAGTGCTGAGTGAGCTGTACCTCGCGGCTCTGCCCCGGGGCTCCTTGCACCCGTTACCTTGCACACATCCTTGGCCAGAGTAATCCAATCCAGGGCAGGAAGAGGATGAGAAGCGCATATTATTCATAACAGTCACCACACTCCACTGACTGGGAGAAACTTTAAACCACCAAACAGGGAGGAGAGAACAGGCAAATGAGAAAAGGCAAAACATTCGTCCCGTAAAGGGTCGTTGGACAACATTGGCACAGCTGAAGATTGTTCAGCCTATTTATCTATTGGTGGGTGTGACCATCAGGTGAATGAGGTGCTGATGCTGTTGTTTGGGGGCTGATGGGATGTTGGCAATGACATCATGCTGTGGTGCTATTTTTAAAGCCTCCAGTCTCCTTTCATTGACCCCTGCTGCCACTGATAAGCATCCAGCAGTTCTGCAGCCAGCCATCAGGCCAGTCTGACTTCCTGCAGGCTAACTGTCATTAGAGATATCCATTTTCCATTTCTGCTCTCTCTCTCTCTGACTCAGATAGAGTGGCAGATTGACAATTGCTGACTGAGGGTTGATTAGCTGGTAGTCGTGGGGGGTAGGGGCCGGGGGCCTTGCAGAGGGCATATATATGCTCCTAGGGGCCAGGCTTAACTGTGGCTGGGCTTGAGTTGTCAGGCACCAGGACCCTGGGATCTGCCCTACAGGCCCCTCTGGGAACACAGTGGGATTGAATGACAATAAACTGTATGAGATTCCGGATGTGCCGAATCCGACCCCCAGGAAGGACTGAAATAGACACTGCAGACCAGCAAGTTTGGGTGAGAGAGAGACAGAGAGAGACTGAGAAGAGAAAGGGGGGAGGGTTACTTAGAGAAAGGAGGAATATATAGGATAAAGATAGTATTATGGAGCAAAACACACACACACAGACACACACACACACACACACACACACACACACACAACACTGACAAACATGTAAATCTAAAGCTGTAACTCTAAATATTAACATAGTAATATAAATAAATATTGACAACTATTATGAAAATATAAAACGAAATTTGAGACATTTTAATAAGTTTTTTAAACTGCACCATTCACAAAATTCACATTCCTTTTGCCGGCCTCTAGTTTGAGAAATTTATCACAAACCAATTCCAAATACACAGAAACTTCACCATAGACCATTGTGAGCACACATGTGTGCAGCGCTGTCCCATGTCCAAACTCTCCATCAGCCTCTGCCAGCACAAACTGGGTAGTATTGACATCTCCAACCTTGAGGACAATCAATTCCATGCCTGTACACCCGAAGCCCAGTGCATTGGCTGGGTCAGGGTAGGACTTGAGTTTAGGGCACTACGCGACACACAGAGATCATCTCTCACTCGGATGCTATTCTACTCCCATTATATGTCAACTAGATTATATTTCATTCAGAGAACTAGATCTAGAGAATCTCAAGAGAAAACAGTTTGAGCTAAAAAAAAAAAAATTAGACTTAAACAGATTAGGACTAAGCCTTAAAGAGATTTAAATAAAGAATCTCTTACCCCTAAAAGGAGGGAGATCCATTTTGCGCCAAAGCAGTGTTTTATGTTTGTTTGTTTCTTGTTTTCTTTCTTTCCTTTATGTTTTCTTGAGCAGTTTTCTCTCTTCTGCCTCCTGATGCTTCTTCACAAGTGTCCCACACGTGCAAGCAATCCTGGTTCCTCAGTGCTCAGTCATTCCCTCTGAAGAACACCAACAGCCTTTATCAAGCCAGAGCACTGCATGTTCAAAGAGCACTCAGAAGTAAGACGAAGAAACGAGGGCAACATGTCACACGAAATATCCCAATTTATTTGAGTAAGAAACAAAAATGTCCCCAGGGCAAAGTAACTGAGAGGAGCTTCGCTTTTCAAAAGTAACTTCCAAAAAACAGTGTGGAAAGACCACAGCAGCAGCTCTGTTGTTTGTCGTCTCTCAGTATGAGCTGAAAGTGTGAGTGCTGGATTGTCTCTCTCGGACTGTCTATCTCTCTCTCTTTTTCTCTCTCTATCTGTGTATGGTCAGCGCTTCCTGCTCATGCGATCATCCACTCACTCCCAGAGTGTGTGTATGTATGTGTGTGTGAGAGAGAGAGAGAGAGAGAGAGAGATAGAGATGAAGGGTGGGAAACAGTGAGGGAGAGAGGGAGGGAGATGGGATGGGGAGGAGAAGGAGGGGTGGTTGGATATGAATGGTAGAAGGAAAGAGGGCCGGGCTGAGGAGGGTTGGGTTGGGTTGGGTTGGGGTGGGGGGCACTTGGTTTTGCTGGAGATAGTTAATGGCTAAGTGGCATCATCGGGCTGAAACCCAATCTCTCATTTTCTCCCCCTCAGGAACTGTTCTATATGATTCCCTGAGCTAAGCCTAACAAGACGGATAGAGGGAGGAAGGGAAAAGGAGATAAAGAGAGAGAGAGAGAGAGAGAGAACAAGAGAGAACACAGTGAGAAATGGATAGAAAGATAAAGAAGGAAAATATGAGTCAACAATATGAAAGGTGATGAAAACAATGAAAGAGAGAGAGAGATCAGAAACACAATAACTGACAAGAACTTTACCGATGAATATGTGTCAGTTCATAGAACCATCACGAGACAAACAGTTCTGTAAACATTCTGTAGACATATCAACAATTTCATTCTTGCTGATCTTTCCCTTGCATGCAGTGGCACCAAGTCTTCGGGCACTTAAGCTACCGTTAAGAATCTGTGCATTAGAAAATATCACATTTACTGTAGATATCCTATTCAGAATTAACCCAAAAGGTATCGACACTTTCTGATTTTGAACACATGTAATGACTGGGACACCTGTGTGAACTTGAGGAGAACTGCCTTCATACATCCTCTAAAATCACTTTGACACAAGCTGATTAAAAGTCATTGCAAAAAAAATATGGCTCCGATAATTAGATAGTTCTGTAAAAAGACGTTTGTTTGCAGATACCACTTGGTTTGATAATGTTTCTAATGCAATAAAAGTGTGTCTTAAGTGTCCAAGAACATTTGGCGCCACTGTATAGGAAAAAAAGTAAATGGACTAAATATATATATATAAAGGAAGACCTTGATATTTCACAGAACGTCACAGTTGGTGAACATGAACAGAACATCGAAGTATATGAACATGCCATTTTTAACTCTAAGAGCCTCGTGTGGTTGTAGACTCAACATTTGGGAACTCACTGACCCATTCTGATGTGTTTGTGCCAGCAAGCAGCTGTCCTAGAGCAGGTTACATCCTAGAACAGTGAATAATTCAGTGTCTCAATCGAGTGCATGACAGATTGGAACCCAGCCCATGTTCTTTCACTTCAGTCATTGCCAACAGACAACAAGCTGCCTTATCATAATCGCAGTTTATGAACGAACAAATGTAAATTATAATGAAAAAACAAAAAAATAACTTGAATGCATTAAATATACAGGATATTCATATGTGTCCATGTCAGTCTATTGATAGCACATGGAAGGTATCTCCAAGGTAACAGGACACATTTTGTGTGTATGTGACTGTATATATGTGTGCGTGCGTGCATATGTGTGTGTGTGTGTGTGTGTGTGCGTGCGCGCGTAATAGGGCAGGAAGAGGGGTGCTTCCTGGCTTCCTGTAGAGGGAAATAGCTAGGATGACCAAACAGTGCATGAGAGACGAGAGTGAATAAGGTTTCTCTATACTAAACACATTCAAAACGCATGACAGAACAGCTTCAGCCCCAAAAAAGAATCAGCTTATCTACATATCTATGTTCGCAATGTAATTTGTATAATTTATGCTCTCTCTATAACCTAATGTTCTATGAGATGGATGTTAATTTACTGCATAAATAGCAGTAACAGTTCTGTTTACAGCTATTTGATTCTACTTTTGCCCATCATTTGTTGTGGTCTCGTAATATTCAACTATTCATGAAACATACCATACTTATGTTATTAAATTTAACACACATCATTTTTTTTTTTACAAAAATTAAAAAAAGAACCTTAAAAATTTAGAAACTGACTGCAAATCAAGAGATGCTCTCGTTAAAGTTCTAGCAATTTTTTAAGCAGCTTGTTTCATCACAATGTTTATGATTTGATAAAAAGAAAATAAATTATTGAAACTAAATGTAATTTACAAGTTAATGCCTGACAATCTAAGGATCTAAGACTAAGTTTAATAAATGTTTGAAACCAATGTCCTCAAACCTCTTACAGAACTGTAAAACTTTTAACTACTGATTTTATGGTTTGTTTGCATTAGATATTTGATCATTTACATGGTTGTTTGTATGCTGATTGTTAATGGTGTTCACATTTGAACCACATTTTTAAAAATGGTTATAATGAATGTTTGTGAAAGGCAAGCCATTTTAAAAAAAAGGCTATATTAAACCAATGGAAAATGGTCCAAAATTGTTCATCTAATTTAGTTAAAAACTAATATATTCTTCAAATAATATCTCTATTTATCTTAAAAGTCTTGTAGCTGGCCATGAATGCATTACTTACAGCACCACTGGAGCTCTGCTTTAGGTCAAAAGTTTGTAGTGACTAAAAATACTGTATGGCCATAGTTGTGGGGATCTACATTTTATATTTGAAAGAAGAAGAAAAAACATTGGTAACACTTTAGTTTAGTTTAGTTTATTCTCAATATTAACTAGTTGCTTATTAGCATGCATATTACTAGGATGTTGGCTGTTTATTAGTACTTATAAAGCACATATTAATGCCTAATTCTGCATGACCATATTCTACATCCCTAATCCTACCAAGTCGCAGTTAATAGTTAGTTAACCATTTAACCCATGCAAGGAGTTAGTTTAGAGTTGTTGTTTTCTGAGTGGCATACACAAAAGTAAAGACTCATAACTTCAAAACTATTGCAAGGAGAGTCAAAAGGTAGGTATCGTTTGATAGAAAACTAAATAAAAAGAAAAAAAAACATTACTGCTGTTAAAAGACAAAAGATATATATAATTTGTTATTATTATTTTACATATCTTTCTTATTTGACATGCAATAGCGCAGGAAGGAAATAACAAGGAGGACCAATCTTTTTTGGTGAAGTTTCTCTACATGTGAGCAGAATCTGGATCAAATTTTGTGGTGATAGCATAAAATAATCAAGTTACAGCATTTGGAATCAATGTAGTCTTTTGTTTAGCCCTTGACACCGCCTAATGGCCATTTTTAAAATGATTCCTCCATGAGGAATATCTCGTGATCAACGCAATGGATAATGTTGATTTTGGACTCATTTCAATTTGGATCATGCATTGTAAGTAATGATGTGCCATTTTTTTATGATCTGTGCAAGTGTAAACGTCACGTGAAAGCTATAATTGATTTTACTTAGCTACACATTTGCGCCTGTGGGGTTTTATGTGTCGTAAATCCGTGAGGATGGAATATCTCGTGATCGACGCAATGGATTATGGTTTTGACTCATTTTAATTGTGATAATCTGCTGTAAATAATGCTGTGCCATTTTCCACAATCGGAGCATGTTTCATGAAGTTATAAGCGAAAACGTGACATAAAGTGCAAGTACCACTGGAGTTACACTTTGGGTTTAAAGAGTTAATAGTAAAAATGGGAACCTAATCTAAAGTGTGATCAAAACATTTTATAATTTAAATTGATCTTTTTAAAATAAAAATAAGTTAAAATATATATTTTTTAAAAATAGCTCTTGTTTTACAGGTGTTTCCCATTGAAATTTATTTGAGTATAAGGATCCTTTTCAATAGTAGCTACTGGGAAAAGTAAAAATTTCTGAAAATAATACATTTATAGCTATGACGTACAATTACTCAAGTCCTTTTTTATCTCTACCCATCTGTATGATGCAATAGCATGTATCCATCTCACATTATCAGTATGTGTGTGAGTGTGATGGGAACATTTTCCCTCAAGGCCTGCCACTGCCTCAGCCCATGGCACTCATACTGCCTGAGAGAGAGAGAGAGAGAGAGAGAGAGAGAGAGAGAGAGAGAGAGAGAGAGAGAGAGAGAGAGAGAGAGAGAGAGAGAGAGAGAGAGAGAGAGAGAGAGAGAGAGAGAGAGAGGCAGTACGGGGCCATAGAAGGATCAATGTTAAATGGCCTGGTTAATGACCGGCACACAGCTGACAAAGTCATTCATTTCTGCCGGCACTATGTATTCTGTGTGTGTGTGTGTGTGTAAACAAGAGGGATTTGCACGTTTGTGTGTTTCAAACTCAAATATGAAAAAGAGAGATAGAATGAGAAAATTAAAAGCAGAAAAAGAGACCCAACAAGGCTAGATAAACAAACAAATGCTGATATTGGGGTTTGATAAATAGAGAAACAAAGAGTGTTTGTGTGAATGTGCGTGTGTGTTCTGTTATGACAGTGTTAGTGTAAAGATCACTTCCCATGTCAAAGCACCACTGCAGATAAAGCTGTAATATTGAGTTACAAAACACTCCTCATTCACGGCCCTGCCTCTTCTAGATCGCTTAAAGGGATAGTTCACATAAAATAATTGAGCTGATAAATAGAATAACAAAGTAAACAGTAAAATTTATAATATATGATTATAATATATTAAAATAGTACGATAACTAATACCCGTTTGCAATATCAAGCAGCATGAACTGTTTTTGTACTGCTAAATACCTGCAAAGCTGCTGACAACAGAAGCCTCAACACATTGGTTACAAATGGCTGTGATTTCTGAATTACTTTTTTTTTTTTAAATCTTTTCAATGAATTAACTTTCACAGTGGCTCTTTGAATGATTTGTTCACAAATCAGACCGGGTTCGTTTTCAAGTTCAACTCACTCACAGAGGTTAACGTCTTAACATTTCTTGAAGTATCATTTTTAAAGTGGTCTTAACCCCACACACTCAAGTGGAGCTTATTCTTCCAAACAACTAGTCAAGCCCTCTCATCCTCCTGCTCTGTACCA